CTCTCGTATAGGGCATACTTTTTTAACTCACATTTTCATCTTAAAACGAGAGCCGCAGCCAGAGTGTGAGGCTGTGAGCACTGTCAAGTTCCTTTGAAAGTTAAGAGCGTGTCCGTGAGAAAACCATGCAGAAGGTGCTAAGGCTTCAATCACAGATTTTGACCAATTTGGTTTATAAGTTGGGATAGTCCCAAAACACATAAATGTGCAATATTAGATAAATCTTTCAATTCCTGTATGAGAAAATTGAAAAAACATTTTTCATATGGTGAAATTGCCAAAATCTGTCTTTTCTCAAATACCAACTTTGGCAAGTCCTTACACCTTTACTATACGTAGCAGAAAGACCAAACTCACACAGTTTATCGATGACTCAGTGCTGTTACCACAATATTAACTTCAGACGATTCTGGCGAACGAGATCTGTATACGGACTGGTATATTAAAGCCTGTCTAAATTCCCCATTTTTCGTCCTCCAAAGTTTGACGCCCTATAGCTACTTCTTTCATGCGGTGGGTTTAAAAAATTTATGCTCACGTGAACAAGCAACCTCCCAACATTTGATACAAAAAATAAAAATGACAGGAATCGACTTGATAAAAACTAGGTAAAGGAAACAATAACCCATGAAATTAACCTGTAATTTCCCTATTTTGGAGATAATTAACCGTAGTAGATAAAAAAAACCTAACAATTTATTTTCCTTTTCATTCATATAGTGTTTACTACCAGCCCTAAAATACATTAGTATCTGTTTTATAAAAATATCTTGAAAAAAAATACTTTCAAAGGCCTGTAATCGTTCATGGCTCATCTGGCGTCAACGGGAATTGACTTCTGCAGTTGTCCACGACCTTCCATTGGAGTTTCGACGTGCTCAATCTTAACAAACATATCCATTACTCTCAAATAGACATTATTTTAAATAAAATAATCCAACGAAAATGAAAAATTCACCTAAAAGTGAGATTCGAACCACCAACCGCATGACTTCTCCCGACTCACCCTCTCACCGAGTTGCTTGTCCCAGGGCCCCAAGGTCCATGTCGTGGGCCCTGTTCAGGTGGTTTGCCTAGGGCCTCTCTTATTCTAAATCCAGCCCTGAAGGTGCAGCTGACGGTGCCCGAGAGCTGTAGCTACCATACTACACTGTTCAATGTCACCCACTTTGACGCAATTAGGCTTCGTTGCCGTTAATATTTAATCTTCCACATTTCTGTATTGTAGAAATCAGTGGATGTGTCCCAAAATGAATAGTGGAAACATGCTCTGAAATTAAACATTTTGTAGCCATTTTCGGTAACTTGTTTGAAAATGAAATCTTAAAGAGACAATACAACAAATATGTTAAAGGGACAATACCAAATATACAATAAATACAATAAATACAAATACACACTTGGTACAAATAATGGCCATGGATATGATGAAAACGTATAAAAGTCAAAAATTTTATTTCTCTAATTAAATTTGCAAAAAAATGTATCACAAAAGCTTATTTTTAGCACTTTTCAATAAGCTGTATATTTTAAGTATGTTGCATTCCGGTCATTTTTATACGCCCACATTTAAATGTGGTCGTATATTGTCGGCGATCCGTCCGGCAGTCCGGCGTCCACAATTGCTTGTGGACGCTCTAGAGGCTAAAGTTAATATCCGATTGACTTTAGATTTATACACAGAGTTTAAGGTTGTGAGATGAAGAAGCCTATTGATTTTCAGCGATTTCCGATTATTACTGCCAGAGTTATGGCCCTTGATCACTTCAAAAAATCTTGTGGATGCTCTAGAGGCCAAAGTTAATATCTGATTGATCTTAAATTTATACACAGTGTTTAAGGTCATGAGACAAAGAAGCCTTTTGATTTTTGGCGATTTCCGATAATTACTGCCAGAGTTATGGCCCTTGATCACTTCAAAAAATCTTGTGGACGCTCTAGAGGTCAAAGTTAATATCCGATTGACTTTAAATTTATACACAGTGTTTAAGGTCATGAGACGAAGAAGCCTATTGATTTTCAACAATTTCCGATAATTACTGCCAGAGTTATGGCCCTTGATCACTTCAAAAAATCGTGTGGATGCTCTAAAGGCTAAAGTTAATATCTGATTGACTTTAAATTTATACACAGTGTTTGAGGTCATGAGGCGAATAATCCTATTGATTTTCAAAGATTTCTGATAATTACTGCCAAAGTTATGGGCCTTGATCACTTTTAAAAATCTTGTGGACGCTCTACAGGCCAAAGTTAATATCCGATTGACTTCAGATTGATACACAGAGTTGAAGATCTTGGGACGAACAATGAATTTTTATGACTTGGAACAGCTAAATACATGATACAGTATTAAACGTTTTGTATACAAAACGTTAGCATGGGGCAGAACTTTATAAAAACCAAACAAATTCTAATGGTTTTCTGAGTTGTTGCTCTTAATCAGATTTTAGTGTATTATAAATGTTTCATTACCGAAAAAAGTAAAAATATGCGACAACTCTTGTTGACTGCCCGGATGATTTAGCTGCTGTGGGTGTATGTTTCGTTGCCTGGCAACCTATCTTATTTACTGTGATACTGTTTTTATTTATGCATATATTTTTTGTCTGTGATATAATTTAGCCCGCCTCGAAATAATCACCATATGTTTGGCGCAATATAGCCCGGTTGGAGCTGACGTCCCATAAAACAACATTTCATTTATTCATTCATTCATCATTCATATTAATGATCCGTGGAACATTTTCCACCTCTTGATATCAAAATTTCATTTGAAAACAGCCGATTTGATGATTTACGGAAGAATACATCACAAGACATTCATGGGTAGGGTGACCCACCATAAATAAATATCTCCATATATCTCGACAATTACGCCACAATATTTATATATATGCCAAGCCCCAAATCAGTTTCACACAATTATAGTCACTAAATAAACGATCATGTTGTACTTAATAAGCTATGACCATTAATCATGTAGAAATAATAGACTGAAAACTGGTTCCAAGAGTAGTCCATAACATCCAGACACTTTTGAGTAAAAGATAGGTTACGTGCCCTTGTTTTGAAATTAGTCTCGCTTAACCAGTCTATCAACCATTCTACGTCTGATTGACAGGTCGGGATAATCAAGACTACTTTTTTACGAAACATAACAGAAAGCTAGAACAAGAAATTGAATTTAGAAATAAGCACATTGAGTAGCTCAACAATCGTTTTAAGAAGCTTGTAACAGTAAAATGAAACTACTGCTAATATCATGTTCCTGTCTAACCCGAGTGATTCAGAGATATTATTTGTACTAAACCAAAAGATGCCGCTCTTAACGGTACGGTTAATATAAAGCGATTTAAAAAATGAAACGAACGTAATTTCTAAATCTGCTGTAATAACCAAGAAGCTTAATTTTACTGCTATTCAAAATCGTCAACAATAAATTTTTTACGGCTGTAATAGTTGATAGATTTGTAGAGAATTGCACGTGCAAGGGCTATTTATAGTATCATACTGTCAGAAAGTTGGTCTCGGCACGGCGAATGTGCGCGCTTCAGTGGTAGTCTCGAACTATCAGCGGTGGACTGTATTTCTGTGAGTACATGGGTCACCCTAGCATGGGGCAGAAATTTATAAAAACTAAACAAATTCTAATTGTTTTCTGATAATTACTTCATTAGTTGTTACTCTTAATCAGATTTTAGTGTATTATAAATGTTTCATTACCGATAAAAGTAAAAATATGCGAGAACACTTGTTGACTGCCCGGACGTTTTAGCTGCTTTGGGCGTATGTTTTGTTGCCTGGCAACCTATCTTTCAGTGTGATGGCGATTAATGTACGTGACTGATTCTTAAAAAAGAAAATAATAACAGATTAAAATAAGAAGTAAAGATCTATAACAAAAGATCTTGGTTCCTTTCGATATTGGCATGTATCGGATGGTATCTTCATGGATTATGGCTCTGATTGTCTGAAAAATCACGTTTTTAGCTTGTGGACACTCTAGAGGTCACAATTTTAAAAACCGTATTATTATATCACTGTTACACCCTAAGGACGGCTGAGTTCGAATTTCGTGAAAATCGGACCAAAATTGACAGACAAAATGGCTGCCGTTCGTTCTCAAATAGCGTAAAAATAAGGTATATCAAGGTTGTGGACCCTATAGAGGTCACAATTTTTATCCGATTTTGTTGAAACTTGAAATATATTTTTATAACCCAAAGATCTCGGTTCCTTTCGATATTCACGCATATCGGACCGTAACTTCCTGAATTATGGCCCCTGATTGTTTGAAAAATGGCCTTTTTTTTCTGATTTTAAAAACTGTTTAAATACATGTACTTTACCATTCCACCATAATGAAGGTTGAATTCGAATTTCGGGAAAATCAAAATGAAACTGCCCAACAAAATGGCCGCTCTTTGTACGCAAATTGTGTAAAACTATGCAATACGAAGGTTTTTATCCGATTCTGATGAAACTTAAAATATATCTTTATATCCCAAAGATATCAGTCCCTTTTGATATTTGACTATGTAAGACCATAACTCTCTTGATTATTGCCCCTGATTGTACAAAAAATCCCATTTGTTTTTAGCTTGTTCTCTATCCATCTTGCAAAATGTGGGCGTATCCTGCCTGGCAGCTGCTGATTATCTGATTTAAAAAACAAAAGGTTTAAATATATCACTGTTACACCCTAACGATGGTTGTGATCGAAATTTGTGAAAATTGGATACTTGTACACAAATTGTGTAAAAGTATGTAAAACCAATGTTGTGGACCCTCTCTAAAAGTCACAATTTTTATCCGATCTTAATGAAACTTAAAATATATGTTATTTTGCTTGTTCCCCACTCTCTCTCTTGCAAAATGTGGGCGTATCTTGCCTGGCAACCGCTGGTTTAATCTAGTGGATGTTTAAATCCATTCAGCAGTTGAAAACACTAAATACGCTTCAAAAAATGTTCTTGATCATAATGTTTGTTTTATTTTAGTAGGAAGAATTACGGGATACATGTAATAAGTGATTTATACTAATCATGTAACTACAGTAAAATTCAAGAGGTTTGTAGCTGCAGCATCATGGCAGGTTGGGATGGAGCAGGTGGGAGATCGGAACCTGATGAATTTATGCGTCCTCCTAGATCTCCACGACATAGAATGCCGAGACCACCAAGTACTCTCTTACCAGACACAGAAGAACATGTTAGACAGCAGACATCGGATGTGTTTAGAAACTTTATATTTCAATCCTATAGACAGGATCAGATAAGACAAGAATATGACAATATGCCTTCAGTTCCAGTAGAACTAACCAATATTAGTCCAACACCACAGAGGTACAGGTATTGTTTTAAATTGTCAAATAAGATATTTTTAAGATATTACCAAAATTAAGTCTAATACACTTCCCTCATTGTACATAGGGATGTGAAGTGGAATATTGGCGTGCCAGCCTCAAGTTTCAAATTCGTGGTGTCACCTGATAATTATTTCAATTTATGGTAAGATCAAATTGTAGCAGGCCTCAGCGGGTGTTATAGATCTTTACTTCTTATTTTAATCTGTTATTATTTTCTTTTTTAAGAATCAGTCACGTACGTTAATCGCCATCACACTAGTTTAATAATAATTTTCTACCCCAAAGATACATTCATTGGGCAACTAAATGTGCCGTACGCACCAAATATGTACCCAATCTGAAAGCGCACCCTGTTATTAGCTATTAATAAACAGCAGTTAACTAATTTTCTGCAAATCCATAATGCACAACTTTTGTTGCCATAACAGCATTATCCTGCAATCTTGCATGAAACTACTACACTTTGAAGTTTTATTACCATATAAGGCAGCACCGGTCTGCCATATAAAATATAAGGCATTTCATACTACAAATATAATAAAATGGTTAATTTAGGCTTGAAAACTTCAGACTTGACATGGGCGCGAATAGCAAACAAGACCTGATAATGTGTGGAAGTTGATTGCCATGTCTTTAGACGAGTCATTTTAAGTTTAGCTATCAATGAATTTTAAATATGTATTTCATATCTATCGAATAAACGAAAGTAGGTAATTATTGAGGAATATTATTGACATGAACTTAAGAGTCGGTACATGAATTGAATGAATATAGAAAATATCAAGGTGCATCTATTTTATTTAAAATATAAAAGAAATATGATAATAGCAATACATATAAACTGCATTACATATGATTGCTAATGTCATCCCCTGTCCTCAATTCCAGGAGAGAGATTTTTAATTTTTATACGCCCATATTGAAATGTGGTCGTATGGTCGTCACACCCATCAGTCGGTCCGGCATCCACAATTGCTTCTGGAGGCTAAAGCTAATATCCGATTGACTTTAAATTGATACACAGTGTTTAAGGTCATGAGACAAAGAAGCCTATTGATTTTCAACAATTTCCGATAATTACTGCCAGAACCCTTGAGCACTTTGAAAAACTCGTGGAGGCTAAAATTAATATCTGATTGACACAGTGTTTAAGGTCATAAGACGAAGAAGTCTAGTGGTTTTCAACGATTTCTGATAGTTACTGCCAGAGTTATAGCCCTTGATCATTTTAAGATATCTTGTGGACGCTCTAGATGCTAAAGTCAATATCTGATTGACTTTATACACATGGTTTAAGTTTAAGGTCATGTGACGAAGAAGCCTATTTTGATTTTCATTGATTTCCGATAATTATTGCCAGAGTTATGGCCCTTGATCACTTTGAAAAATCTTGTGGACACTTTATAATTTAGAAGCTGAAGTTAATCCGATTGATTATGGCAATCGATATTAAATGTTTTGTATGCTAAATGTTAGAATAGGACAGATCTAGAAGCCAAATGGGTTGTTACTCGTACTCAGATTTTAGTGTGTTGTAAATGTTTTCATTTCTGAAAAAAAGAAAAGAATATGCGACAACCCTTGTTGACTTCCGGATGACTGAGCTGCTGTGGGCGTATGTGCTGTTGCCTGGCAACCTAGCTTTTATTTCCAATCCCATGAGAGCTCCCCATGAATTTTTTAGATGTGAAGGCCTGTTGTATATTGTTGTAGGTCTATGTAGATCGAGTCTAGATGATAACTGGTCAATCTTCATCAAGGGAGATATACTAAGATATTGGTTTTTTGGGGGTTTTTTTTTACAATGATTAATCCAAGAGATACATGCATACTAGATGTATTTTATTTGCAACAGTTTGTTATTCCGATTAAAATTCTAGTACATTTTTCATTTTTGATTTACAGCCCATCTGCTGAAATTGGTCGACAATTAGCTAGAATAGGAGATGATATTAATGAACAGTATGCTGATGTGTTTAATGATATGATTCGTAAATTAAATTTAACACCTGATACAGCTTATGAAGCCTTTGAAGGTGTAGCCAGAAAGTAAGATTTATTGTGGGTTTTTTTTTAGGTACAGGATTATCTTAAAATGTGGTGTATTGAATGCAGTGATGGGATTTCAAAATTTTCTTTGTCGGACATTTCCACCGAAAATAAAGGGACATAATTCTTATCGTTATTTAAGCAGGCAGTTTTTAGACCACATACAAAAATCACATGTCAACAAAATATTCAAATTCGTACGTAATAAAAAATAGGCGCACCTCGTTATTTTTCACATTTAATTTCCCGTACGGTATTCAAATTTATGTCAGTAATATTCCTCCAATATTACGTTTAATGTCATAATACGATAGAATGAAAGCGTGCCGACAACTGCCAATCCGTACTGTTTCAAATTCCTCCAAAATTACCGTATTTTTGGGGTCATAAGTTGATACATTTTTCAGCAGAAGTCCGGCATTCGTCTTAATACTCTGTTTCGACTTATATATTGAGGGTAAAAAAAATGACATCCTGAAATTTATTTGGCAGTAAACGTCGCTCTACCACAACGAGCGAGTGACACCATCTGCTAAATAATCGCATTCGACTCTAGCACGTGCTATCGTCTAAAACAGTTAAGTACAATGTACTTGCACTAGGTACCAGCAGCCAAAATTCATTTCTTATTATTTCTGATATCTGATAGGTTATCATGAAAGTAGCCACCAACAGAAGCCCAACAAAAAACATTTAACAAAATATCTTGATTAGTTCCCAAGATATTCATTTTTAAAGGTCTCATTTTGAACTAATTGCATAAATTCGCTAAAATGGGCCATTTTGATATGCAATTGAGAGTTGCATAAACATGCAAATAGGTATTATTTTCAACTTAATGAAATACATAGAGTACATTCTATACAAAAACTAAATGTATTATGACTATTTCAAGTAACTTTTGTTGAAATAAGCTTTTATAAATGAAAATAATGACAAAATTACATAGTGCGAATAAGTCTGAAGCCCTACTTCGGTATGCAATAAGTTTTTATGCAAATATAAATTTAAGGTTTTTCAGCTTTTTTCTACAGAAAAAGTTATATAATTTAATGCTAATTTTTTCAAGCTTTCTTGCAATGCAAGTTAAAGGAGCTAAGTCTCTAACTCAATATCATCAAAAATCTTCAACATTGAAAACACGATTTATTTGTCAAATTACATCAACATTCATGTTGTGATCTGACCGGAAAAAGATGGGCTTTTGATATCCACTATTTAAGACAAAATAAACATTTTACCATTGGTACACGAATCGTGTACCATAATGTGCTTCAGCCCCAGTTGTATCAAGAGACTCGAGGGACGAGGCCGTACGTAATTAACGTACGAAAATTAAATGGTAGCTGGCTTTTTTTTCGCACGTATACAGTGAATGGCCATTTTGCTCAGTAATCCCAGCCAGAATTTGGCTATTTTTTTAAAATTGCGTTAAAGTTTTAAATTTTTGTTTAGAACTGAAATAAATTAACTTTTAGTCAATTCCCACGCTAAAAACATTAACAGAATTGATTGTGTATATCTGAAATAGACACGACCGAAGCACAAAATAGTGCCAATATGCCGACGTCAAATCTAGAGTTGTAGATGATGTTATTTTAGTGAAAAATCCTTGGAAGAAGCGATAAGACGTTCTGTACGGATTATACAGTCCTGAAGGCTGCAAGAAGGCTATTGTTTACAATGTAACATTGTGTCTTGTAATGTTGATAATGAGCATAACGATGGTGTTTACATTTGTTTGTTGATGTGACCTCATGACCTGTGACGTTTAGATAACGTCATATGGATATCATGGCTATTCACTGTGTCAGAGTCACTTCTCTGCAGGTAGGGTGAGTCTGTCTTTCAGATTGGGACGAGGCTAGACACATCGCACCATATCAAACGGCGTATGTAGACTGGAATAACCAGACGCTAGAAATTTGCACTCGCTTGAGACTGCTGGCTCATTTTGCCGAACATAACTGATATGAAATTGGAGTAAAAACGGAAACTATTGAATGTAAATCAGTTTATATACATTCATATTACAGTATTATATGCGTTGCGACCCACTTTTGTCAATTTCTAGGTCCAAAATGTTAGCGATTTAGCTTCTTTAAGATGTTATTCACTATTAAAAATGATCAGAAGTGCAATTTTGACCACGGAAAAATGCCACTTCTGTGAATAATTGAGTCACAACTTCAAAATGTCATAACTTCAAGACTTATTAAGCAATTTAATTGAAATTTGGACCATAGCTAAATAACGTCTTATTCTACAATATGATACTGTGAGTAAAGTTATACATACAATACAACAACTGATATTGGAACCTTAATTTTGCACATAAATTAGTGGAATTATGCACTTGAAAAAGTGTATTTTAAACAAAAAGCATCACCGACATCAGATGGATAGAGCTTTATGGACACTTTCAATACCATCAAAAACTTTAGAAGAAGAGATGAAAGTTTCATAACCAACAGGATCTCTACTACAGTTCTAACTTTTCTTCTTTGCTATAGCTGTAATAATTCTTTATCTGTTTTTGATAAAGCTGATTTGAATAATAATACCATTTGTTACAGCCACTGGTACTATTTTATTTTTATACGCCCACATTTTCGTGTGGACGTATATTGTCGTCGCCCCTGTCCATCCGGACGTCCGTCTGTCCACAATTTGTTTGTGGACACTCTACAGGTCACAATTCTTATCCGATTTTGACGAAACTTGAAAAAAGATCTCGGTTCCTTTCGATATTGGCATGTATCGGATTGAAACTTCATGGATTATGGCCCCTGTTTTTCCAAAAAATCACGTTTTTAGCTTGTGGACACTATAGACTAGAGGTCACAATTTTTATCCAATTTTGTTGAAACATGTAATGCAAGTTTATAACCCAAAGATCTTGGTTCCTTTCGATATTCGCGCATATCGGACCTTAACTTCCTGAATTATGGCCCCTGATTGTACGAAAAATCGCGTTTTTTGCTTGTGGACCCTATAGAAGTCATAATTTTTATCTGATTTAAAAAACTGTAAACCCCATTTCTCTCTCTCTCTCTCTCTCTCGAATTTTGTGAAAATTGGCCCAAAATTGATAGACAAAATGGCCGCCGTTCGTTCTCAAATAGCGTAAAAATATGGTATATCAAGGTTGTGGACCCTATAGAGGTCACAATTTTTATCCGATTTTGTTTAAACTTGAAATGTAAGTTTATAACCCAAAGATCGCGGTTCCTTTCGATATTTGCGTGTATCGGACTGTAACTTCCTGAATTATGGCCCCTGATTGTACGAAAAATTGTCTTTTTAGCTTGTGGACCCTATAGAGGTCATAATTTTTATCCAATTTAAAAAAACGTATTATTATATTACCATTACACCCTAACGATGGCTGAGTTCGAATTTCGTGAAAATCCATCGAAAACTGACAGACAAAGTGGCCGCCATTCGTTTTCAAATAGCGTAAAAATATGGTATATCAAGGTTGTGGAACCTATAGAGGTCACAATTTTTATCCGATTTTTTTGAAACTTGAAATGTAAGTTTATAACCGTTCGTTCTCAAATAGCGTAAAAATATGGTATATCAAGGTTGTGGACCCTATAGAGGTCACAATTTTTATCCGATTTTGTTTAAACTTGAAATGTAAGTTTATAACCCAAAGATCTCGGTTCCTTTTGATATTCGCGCATATCAGACCGTAACTTCCTGAATTATGGCCCCTGATTGTACGAAAAATCACGTTTTTAGCTTGTGGACCCTATAGAGGTCATAATTTTTATCCGATTTAAAAAAACGTATTATTATATCACTGTTACACCCTAAGGACGGCTGAGTTCGAATTTCGTGAAAATTTGCCCAAAATTGACAGACAAAATGGCCGCCGTTCGTTCTCAAATAGCGTAAAAATATTGTATATCAAGGTTGTGGACCTATAGAGGTCACAATTTTTATCCAATTTTGTTGAAACTTGAAATGTAAGTTTATAACCCAAAGATCTCGGTTACTTTCGATATTCGCTCATATCGGACTGTAACTTCCTGAATTATGGCCCCTGATTGAACGAAAAATCACATTTTTAGCTTGTGGAGCCTATAGAGGTCATAATTTTTATCCAATTTAAATAAACGTATTATTATATCACCGTTACACCCTAAGGATGGCTGAGTTCGAATTTCGTGTAAATCAGTCCAAATTTTTATCCAATTTTGTTGAAACTTGACACAAAGTTCTCAGTTCATTTCGATATTTGCGCATATCGAATTGTAATTTCCTGAATTAAGGTCCTTGATTGTAGGAAAAATCACTTTCTTTTTGGCTTGTTCTCTATCCATCTCTCGAAAATGTGGGCGTATCCTACCTGGCAGCCGCTGGTTTATTTAATATGTCACCTAAAAGTTCACGCCTGGTTATATTTAACCTCAACAAATGTCCAACAAAAGTTATTTTCATTTGTAAGATATGATCTTCTTTCACTGTTGGAACTTTTTTTTACCGGTACACTTTCAACGAAAGACCTCTTATTCGAGATTTCTGAATATCTATATAATATACCGCGAAATCTACAAGTACGTTCCATGGTCTTTCAGAAAATACGACTGCAGTAGTTCATTATTCAAGCATAAATTGGACATGGATGGCCTTCAGCCTCTTCCACTTGTAGTGGATATAGATTTTACAATCTTAAAATCATGATCTGAAATAATATAGCATAATAATTTATTTCCACAAATTTCATTTCGAGCTTGATTAATGTCTAAAATATAAAAATATGAACTTCTTTTAGGACATAAACACTAGTGACTGAAGGGTCATTCCATGTCAACTGGACCAAATTTCGGAAAGTTGGGAACATGACCCCTTCCAAAAAAATTATAAAAAATATATGTTATAGTATATAGTCTTAACCTAACAAATCCAAAAATTTTACCGCTCCAGATAAAAAAAACTCACGGAGATATGGCCATTTGAAATTAGGGTACTGAAACTGTTGTATATATAAC